AGTTTATTTTGTAAAAGATGAAACGAGAGGGAGCGTTATTACAGGAGAGCTCACAGAGCACTAGGAGGTCCCGTGTTCAACGCTGTCTTTTTGAGCAATAAGAGGGAGATGCGTTCAAAATGGCCACGTTCTGGTTTTCAGGAAAATGTCCCTCCGTACACCGTTGTGTCTAAAGCCAGGATTCAAAGGGATGACTCTTCAAATTTATACTTCATCCTAAGCCCAAAAGGAAGCCACTGCGATCCACCAACCGGCCCAGTGCTTTCTAACTTCTGTTGTCCCCTCTTCTACGTATTTATGACAGAAATATTTTATGACCTTTTGCTCCCCAATGAAGCCTCTACCTTTTCCATCATCCCTCCCGTGGCTCTTCCTGTGGGTGCTAAAACCCAGTCCAAGAGAGTTCTGGTTATCCCGGTTTGTGATGGACAGCAAACGTATATAAAAACGTATTAATGTGAAGTAATTATGAAGCAACAGTCATACTTACCTACTTCTTCTAGAAAATGGCCACACTGCCCATTGCCATCTTAAAAATTCCTAATTCAGGGGCGCCTGGGTGGCTCAGTGGGTTAAGCATCCTACTCTTGATTTCTCAGCTCAGGTCATGATCTCACAGTTCACGAGACTGAGACCCGTGTCAGGCTCTGTGCTGACACTGCAGAGCCTGCTTGGGATTCTCTCTGCCCCTCTCCTCCGTTCATGCTCTTTCTCTCTCTCTCTCTCAAAATAAATCAATTAATTAAAAAAAATTTTACGGGTGCCTGGTGACTCAGTCGGTTGAGCATCTGACTCTTAACTATAGCTTGGGTCATGATCTTAGTTTGTGGGATCGAGCCCCACATCAGGCTCTGCACTGACAGTGTGGAGCCCGCTTGGGATTCTGTCTCTCCCTCTCTCTCTGCCCCTCCCCGTGCTCTCTCTCAAAATAAACACATTAGAAAAAAAAAAAGACTTCGTAATTCCTCCACAATAAACACTTAACTACGTTTCAAGATTGTTTAAGCTTAAAGCCCTTTGAGACACAAACAAAACCACTAACTCACATTTAAGAAACTGAGTATTTAGTACTCTAACCCTCCCAGTTACCTTGAAGCATGCATCTATAAGCAGATTCAGAGATAGCGTAGATGTGTGGAGGCATCTCGTGGCGTTTCTTCCCTCTGTACATTTCAATGATATTCTCAGAGTAGATTGGAAGATTCTTGTAAGGGTTTATGACTACACAGAAGAGTCCAGAATAAGTCTAGAAGAAAAATAAAATACAGCGTTAAAAAAAAAACAAACAATCCCTGAATATATCACACAGCCAGAGACCATACAGTAATCTAAACGGGAGCCTTCATCCCTAGAGTAATTAATCCCTTCTCCTAATTAAATCTAGCCGAGGATATACGATTCCAAGCCACAGGCAGTTCTCCCACAGATCATTTATTAAGGGGCACTCTTCTGGACTCAATTCCTTCATCTGTAAAATGGCCATAACAACATATGCTTCCCAACCTCACAGGGCTACCAGCGAAAGGCTCAAGCAGCCCGTGATTCATGTTTTCGGGGCTATTCTTTTCCGAGTGTGCACGGTACGAAAAGGTCGGTAATCTAGTTCCAGATTCCACACTGCAGCTAATCATTTAGGAAATGCCATGTGTTAAGTTTGGGTGTAGAATCAAAGAAGAATACCCACAATTACCTGAAAACGTGGTTGTTAAAGAGATTTGCAAAAACATAAAACTTCTCTAAGTATTTTGCTGTGGAAAACAGCGTTTGTTTTGTGAAAGATTATTTATGTTAACTTGTTGTACACTTTTTTTTTTTTTAATGTCTATCCATTTTTGAGAGAGAGGGCATGAGTGGGGGAGGGGTAGAGACAGGGAGACACAGAATCCGAAGCAGGCTCCGGGCTCGGAGCTGTCAGCACAGAGCCCGACGCGGGGCTCGAAATCACAAGCCATGAGATCATGACCTGAGCTGAAGTCGGATGCTCACCCGACTGAGCCCCCCAGGCCTGCCTGTTGTACACTTATTTTAAATGAATTTATTTAAACAAATACGTGGCTAACTATTTTTAAGTGAACTGATACATATTTTTAAAATTTGTTTTAATTTCAAATACAGTAAGTACCGATAAATATAAACCACACAAACACTAAAGGACACAAAAGGGTCCTCAATTTATTTTATTTTTCTTAATGTTTTTATTTATTTATGAGACAGTGTGCAAGCAGGGGAGGGGCAGAGACAGAGGGGGACAGAGGATATGAAGCAGGGTCCAGGCTCCAAGCCATCAGCACAGAGCCCGACGCAGGGCTCAACAACTCACGAGCCGTGAGATCATGACCTGAGCAGAAGTCCGACGCTTAACTGACTGAGCCACCCAGGCGCCCCCTCAATTTTTTTTTCAAAGGCTTTGTTTTTAAATCATCTCTACACCCAGCATGGGGCTCGAACTTATGACCCCAAGATCAAGAGTCACATGCTTCACCCCCTGCGCCAGCCAGGCGCCCCGTGGGTCCTCAACAATTTTTAAGAGCCATTAGTCTAGAAGACATGAACCCTTCTTGGCCAGCACAGTCACCATTATTAGAACCGATACTAGGAACGCTTTTGATTTGGGGGTTTTCTTAATTCGCTAAGAATGATTTCTGAGAAGAGTGTACAAAACTGACCGTGGGGGTCAGGGAAGAACAGAACCGCCAGGCTGCTGCCGGGGGCCCCAGTCCTGCAAGGACCGAGGCATCTGGAAGTGGCAGTCCGTGGCACTGTGATACAGGCCTTTTTTGTTTTTTAGTATTTTTGATGTTTATTTAGTTTTGAGAGAGAGAAAGACGGACAGAGCAGGAGCGGGGGAGGGACAGAGAGAGAGGGAGACACAGAACCCGAAGCAGGCTCCAGGCTCCGAGCCGTCAGCACAGGGCCCGACGCGGGGCTTGAACCTGCAAACCACGAGTTCACGACCTGAGCCAAAAGTCAGATGTTTAACCGACTGAGCCACCCAAGCGCCCCGCAGGCCTTTTAATGAAGGTGATCTGGGGGACCGAGTCCACAGGCAAGAGGACACTACAAAGGCCGGGGCTGACAGCGTTCAGCTGCGTGGCCCGCTCCCCGGGGACCCTAAAGGGTTTCTCAGCCACAGCTGTGTCTGTGAAGGCGGAAACCTTGGCAGCTGCCGTCAGAAGGCACCCTCGAGACGGCTCTAGGCGCACACTGCAGTGACCGGTGCTAACGCGGGGACGGGAGCCTGCTGGAAGGAGGGCAGTGGTCAGGTCAGAACCTCATCTCAGGCTGTGCCCCCCACAGCTTTCCTAAGTCACAACAGGAGGTGCGGGTGTGGGCAGAGAGGAGGCAGAGGCGAAAGGCTCTGCCCCAAGTTCACGGCTAGGAGCTGTTCGCCTTACTTCTGAGCCGGCCAGAGGGACATCGCCCCTGTCTGCCTGAGGCCAGAGAAGGCGCCTGCCCCCTCCCTCGCTGGACACTCGGGTCTTCTGACTGTCGGCTCTCTCGTCCGGGCAGCTCAGGTCCCAGACAAGCCTGGCTGGCTCCTGTACACAGACAGGTTAACAAATCCTAACTATACATCTCAATGATTATTTTAGAAATGTTTATTTATTTAAGTAATCTCTACACCCATCCTGGCACTTGAACTCATGACGCCGAGATCAAATCAAAAGTCACGGACACTCTTCCGACTGAGCCAGCCGGGCGCCCCTCGATGAATTTTTATACAGACCCCACTTTTCCATTCAAAAATTAGATCGGAGTCTATCATGAAGCTACGGATTCTACACTTCACTTTTATAAGAGGTAAATTATAGACCGACCACAAAGAAAACAAAACAAATAAATGCAAGAGAGTTAAAATACAGAAATTCAGTTTAACATCCCATACCACGTATGGCGTGGTAACAGATCCTAACAGCGACATTTAACTCAGAAATAATTCCCACATATGTGTCTCCCATGCGGTGGGTGCTTTTCTGAGGACTCAGGATCACAAAATGACTCAGTCTCACAAATATGAGTACGTCATCTAAAAACAAGGTTAAATAATCATCAGTACCCTGTGCTTGCCAGAGAGGGGGAGTAAAAAAAAAATGTTTATGTGGAAACATCATTCAATTTAAGTGCCTGAAGAGCTGACTTTGAACTCTCTGGAAATGAGCTCCAATTCCGGGCTCCTGTAGAAATGATAACGGAAGCGATGCTGTGTTACTTTCATCTTCCGCGGGGCACATGGCAGGAGGACAATATGCTGTTAAAATCCTGTCTCTCTGACACCAAAGTTCCAATTAGACCTCATTCAGTGTGTGAATAGGCACACGAGACTTTTTACGCCTTCAAGAAACACGCACCTCCGGGTAGGAACACAACAGACTAAACACACACGTGAGACAGTAAAAAGAGAGCGGTAAGAAAAGAGAAGGAGAAAGACGAACGCGATTATAAATGGGACAGAAACTCTGGAGCCGCACACGCAACCAACCCCAGGCCCCGAGAGTCAAGGCCGTCTGGTCAGAAACTGCAAAACGAGGTACAAAATTCAGACTAGACGGTCTCTGATGTCCTTTTAAAAACTAGTTAAAGGGCAAAAGGAGGGATAAAGAAGTTGCCATGAAAACAGGGGGAGCGGGGCGCCCCGGTGGCTCAGCCAGGTCATGATCTCACGGTTCGAGAGACCGAGCCCTGCGTCAGGCTCGGTGCTGATGGCGAGGAGCCTGCTTGGGACTCTCTCTCTTCCTCTCTCTGCCCCTCCCCCACTTGCTCTCTCTCCCCTCTCTCAAAATAAATAAATAGACTTAAAAAAATAAAATAGAAAGTGCACGAAACTTAGTGGCAGGATATAGGCAAGGCACAGTGAACAACTCGGCCTCGCCGAGCACGGAACGTGCACGGTGGGAGCTCAGAAGGGCGGACTCAACCGCTTAGATTCTCAATGTTTATTTATTTTTGGGACAGAGAGAGACAGAGCATGAACGGGGGAGGGGCAGAGAGAGAGGGAGACACAGAATCGGAAACAGGCTCCAGGCTCCGAGCCATCAGCCCAGAGCCCGACGCGGGGCTCGAACTCACGGACCGCGAGATCGCGAGATCCCGCGAGATCGCGAGATCGTGACCTGGCTGAAGTCGGACGCTTAACCGACTGCGCCACCCAGGCGCCCCATCAACCGCTTAGATTCTGCCCGCACAGGCGATCAGGTATCAGAGGTTCAGGGGAGAAGAGCGACGGAAGGGAAGGAGCATGTTTGTAAAAGGATCGATCTGGTAGCCCCACGGAAAAGAGACCGGAGGGCAAGAGGTGAGGAGCGGGGAGTGGAGACTACTACTGCCCCAGTCCCAGCACAGTGCCGGGGCTCAGATGAGAGGGGAGAGGTGGGTCACGAGAGAGCTGGGGGGAGGGAGACTCCATGGCGCTCAACAGGTCTGCACATAAAGACCACCAAAGATGCGAGCTAACAGCCCCTGCGTTCAACCGATGTACATACAGGAAGAACAGTCTGATATGTGGGGGAGATAACGAATCCCCTTTGAGCGTACAGAGCTTGGGCGATGCTGAATGGGGATGCACTACAGCAGGCGCGCCCGGGAGAGCGCCTAGGGAGAGGTGGACAAGCCAAGAGAACATTCTGAAGCACTGTGAAGGCCTGACGGACGTCTGTGCGGCCTCCGACACACCAGCTTCTGTTACGCACCTTCCTCAGAGCGACAGGCAAAAACACCTGCACAAGAAACCTGCCGTTCTGTAGACACGCTGCCCTGCTTTATGCCTCCAGGCTTCTGCACACGCAGCTCTCTCTGCCCGGAACGCCCACCATCCGACAGGAATGCGCGCGCACGTTCTTTCAAGGTTCCAAGGACTGGGCAGCCAGGAAATGAGGCAGTGAGGATGTCAGGGCCAGGGCGCAGAGCAGAAGCAGGACCGAACGGGGGTCTCACCCAGGCCGCTGCCCCGCTGCAGCTCGCAGAGGGCATCAGGCCACCACCCGAAGGAGAGTTCACCCTCACCATCTGCAAACACTGCACCCACAGAGATTCGCACGCGTGTTTGAAACGACAAACCCGAAACCCTATGGGAGGAGGAAAGCATCGTCATCCAGAGGCTTCAGAGAGAGGATGTGCCTATGGAAATTGCCTACAAAATCAGCTAAAAGGAAGCTTTAGGAAACAGATTTACAGGTGCAGCAGAATGTAGTACAACAGGGACTCCACCAACTGGAACAGAAATGCACAAGGAAAGGAGACGTGGCTGAG